TGTTATGCAAATCACATAGAAACTGATGTCTTCAACAAAAATGCTCTATAATCATTAGAGAAAGAGTAAAGAGTTGATTTTGACAATTGATTGCATACCAATATGTGATAGTAACTCAATGAGAATCAGCCACGCTTTTTACAATCACAAGAAACCCAAAACATATCACTTCCAGTATCCAAAAGCTACAAGGAAAGATTTATTTGGAGTCCCAATATCCATCCAAGCATGATGCAACCTGAAAAAACCAAATATTATGCAGACCATATGCATTTCATTTTGCAAACGATTTAGGCTTATTCAGCAGAATCAATATAACACACCAATCATTCAATTTCACAGCATTCCTGTTTCAGATTTCATACATTCTGAAAACAGACAAGACACTAAACAAGAATGTAATGTCACAATTATTCAACCAAGAAGGGGTATTATTACAAATTTGTTTGTTCTTTTAGGGATGACACTCGACTTTGATTTTCTTCATCCCTATATGAGATGTTAAGAAAGTGGAACTCACTGCAAATAATAACAATCTATTAAACAATTCACAAATGAATTTACATCTCATTATGTTAGCATTGGTGGATAAGGAATTACTTGAACACTATACGGAACATGAAATTACTCTCGAAAATCAAATGAATAAATTGGGATTTTAGGTTACCACGCAGAGTAATGAATTTGATCAGCTATAATCTCCATCAAATAGACTTAAGCATAATCATATAACAAAAAAGAACAGTAATATAAAATTTTAGGTTGCTCTCGATTTCTTTCTTGAGGCAAGATCTTTTGCAACGGGTGTAGTTTCTCAGCGCCCACTCTGTGGAGCCCCCCTGTATTGTTCGATTAAAATTTTTCGGCGGCGGAGCCGGTGACGCCTCTTTCATGAGTGTTGAATAGATTAGAGTTGAAGGAATAGATTAGAGTTGGAGGCGGTAAACTGAACCAGATGAGAAAGATGGCTGACGACGACAAATTGTTTTTATTACTTTATTCCTTATTAATTCCTAGCCCTTGGATTGTATTTTAATTTTTTTATGATCAAAGGCTGAAAACTAAGGGCTGCTGTTTTTTGCCCACAGCAGCGCCCCCGCACCCCAGTTGTACATAGCTTTTTTTTTTTTTTTAACAAACATCAAATTAGATAAAAGAAACTCGAATGTACAACAGGGACAGCCAAAGGGCCGCAACATATCACGGTTCAAAGCGACATGCTAGGGAAAGCTCAACTCTGAGCTAACCTAAAGGACCAACCATGGCCTCAGAAAAGAAAAAACCAAGAACAAACAACACACATACAATAAACAATAATAAAAGGGAAAAACAGCTCCCTAAACACAGAATATAAGAGAACAAGAAGAAAACCGAGACAATAAAATTCTAATGTCTTCTACTAGAATTGCAGATTCCAAAAGGCAGAGAGCTTCACCGGCTAATATTTGATGCAGGCCTTTGTCTTTAATTTCCAGCATAATCCTTTGCCATCCTAAAAGGAGCCCCTCCTCCAGCCTTGTCCGCAGCTTAGAAAAGAAAGTAGCTTTAGATTTTTGCTGAAAGGCAGTAAAGGGCATACTCCAACAGGCCACCTCAGTATTTGCCAGAAAAGCTGTCCCCTTCAAAACACAAATCTCCGAGTGAGAGGCATTAACACTGGCAGCTTGAGGAAGCTCCCCTATTCCTTGCACCTCATCAGAATTTGCACTAGAGCCCACAATCAAATTTATTGGCTTGAGAAGATGTTGACCAAACTTGATATCCTCAAATTCCAGCCATTCAAGTTTTGCTTTTGCAACCAGTTGGGGCTCAGAGATCACTTCCTTTTCAAACAAGCATATGTTCCTTGTTCTCCACATCCACCATAGGAGATAAACTGAGAGAGAAATTCTGTTTCTATTATGCTCCAGGTCCTTCATGTTGCACAAGGTTAGCCACCATCCTGAAAATGTAATGCCCTTGTCATTCAAACAGTCCCAGGCCAACCCAGCAAGCTTCCAGACAGTTTTGGCTCTAATACAATGGAACATAAGATGCTCTAGAGTTTCATCTTCTTCAGTGCACCAACAACATTTCACATCAATATCCAGCTTTCTCTTCCTTAGAGCACAATTTGTTGCAAGCCAGTTATGTAGGCATCTCCACAGAAAGTTCTTGATTTTAGGCTTGATTGGAAGATGCCATACCTTTTGCCACATCTTCTGGTTATCTGTCCTGGCATTGCTGGTTTCTGCAAGCTGTTGATGCTCCTGCTTTGAGAGGAGAATAGTATGATAAGCAGCCTTAACAGTGAATTTTCCCGTCTTATCTGAATGCCAAATAAGTTTGTCTTGAGTGCCACAGTGACTTATATGGGTTTGAAGGATGAGTGCAACATCTGTGGGAGTAAATGTCTGAAGAATCAGCTCATTGTCCCATTTATGTTCCCCTGCAACCATTAAGTCAGAAACTTTTTGAAGTGCAATTCTGTCAGAGGCAAAACAAACAGTAGGTCTAAAGCCATTTGAGTTTGGAATCCAGGGGGATGTCCAAATATTGATTGAGTGGCCATTTCCCACTTGGTATCTCAACCCCAAAGTCAGAGAATGTCTACAATCAAGCCACCCTTTCCATAACTAGGAATCAGAATCTTTTTTCCTAACCTTAAGAAAGTTTTTGTTATGCCAGTATTTGCCTCTCATCACTCTGCTCATTAATGTGTTAGGCTTAGTTAACATTCTCCAGAGTTGCTTTAAGATCAGGGCCTCATTCATGATTCCTAAGTCTTTAAATCCCAGCCCTCCCTCCTTTTTGGACTTAGAAAGGTTACCCCAACTAGCCCAGTGAATTTTCTCTCCCCCTTCCCCATTCTTGCCCCACCAAAACCTAGCTACTTCTCTACAAATATCAGAGCAAATACCAACAGGAAGCTTGAAAACAGACATCACATAAAGAGGCAAGGCACTCAACACAGTTTTGATTAATATCTCTTTGCCGGCCTCACTCAAAAATATATTTTTCCAATTAGAAACCCTAGCTAACACGCACTCTGAAACAAAAGCAAAAGTTTCTTTTTTGTTCCTGCCTATACCCATTGGGAGACCCAAGTATTTAGAGCTTCTGGCCACAGCAATTCCTTGGAGGATTTGGCAAATTTGAGACTGATCTTGAATAGGGGTATTAGCAGAAAAGAAAATATTAGATTTATGAAAATTTACAGCTTGGCCAGAGGCTGAGCAATAGGAATGCAAAATTTGCAGCAATAAAGCAGCATGATAACTATCAGCTTGACAAAAAATTAAGCTGTCATCAGCAAAAAATAAGTGAGAAATACTGGGTGAAAATTTGCTAATTTTGAGGCCTTTAAATGAATGGGATGAGCAAGCGCGGTGAATGAGATTGGACAAGGCCTCAGTAATAAGGATAAAGAGGTAAGGAGATAGTGGGTCTCCTTGCCTCAGACCTCTTGAAGGAACAACCTGCCCTTGATTTTGGCCATTCAAGTTAAAAGAAAAGGATGAAGAACTAATACAAGACCAAATCCAGTTCAGGAATTTATTGCAAAAACCCAAGTGCTTGCAGATTTTAATAACAAAAGGCCATTCAACTCGATCAAAAGCTTTGGCCATATCTAGTTTAAGGGCCATATATCTTTTTTTCCCTCTTTTTTTGCCCTTAAGAAAATGAAGGCATTCATTAGCTATAATAACATTATCAAGAATTTGTCTATCAGGCACAAAAGCTGTCTGAGATTGGGAGATACAAAATTTGATAACAGATTTAATTCTGAGCGCAAGAATTTTAGCAATAAGTCTGTAGGTAATGGTACAGAGGCTAATAGGTCTGTAATCAGTAACCAATTTTGGATATTTGGTTTTTGGGATTAGAGTAATAACAGTGTGGTTGGTGGCCTTTGGAATACAACCAGTGACAAAAGAATTTTGGACAGCCAAGCATAAATCAGTCTTAATAATATGCCAACATGATTGAAAAAAGGAGGGGGAGAACCCATCAATACCAGGGGCTTTACCTGGGTCCATGGCCCACAGTGCATTCTTGATCTCCATTTCATCCACAGCCTTAGTTAAGTCTTGATTCATTCCAGCTGTAATGACACAAGGAAGGCCCTGTAGAATCTCTGAATCACCATCAACATACTCAGAACTGAAAAGCTGTTCAAAGAAATTGGACACTTCTTCCACAACCTCAGCTTGATTGGTACATCTGCCACCAGTTCTTTTGAGAAGATTTTCTAAGCTGTTCATACTCCTTCTCTGATTGACACAGGCTTGAAAAAATCTAGTGTTGTTATCCCCTTCCTTTAACCATCTAACCCGGGCCTTTTGTTTCCAGTAAAGCTCTTCATCCTTGTAGGCTTTGTGGATTTTTTCCTTGCAGCTATACCATTCCGTCCATTCTCTAGCGCCACCTTGACTACTGAGCTGTTCCAGTTTGGCATTGCACTCCTTTATAATCTTTGATGAATTTGTAGCAGTTGAGGTCAGCCATCCCAATAAGACAAATTTCACGTTTCTCAACCGTTTTTGAAAGCTATACAGGCCTGCACCAGTGACTTGCATCTTCCATGCCTTTTTGACACATTCATCAAACCCCTCCTCCTTTGCCCATCTTCTATCAAAATAGAACTTATGCTTCCTTTTCTGTTCTGTTCCCACAATGTCCATAAGCAATAGACTGTGATCAGAAGAAACAAGTGGAATGTGCAGGACAGAGACCTTAGGGAATTTGAGGAGCCAATCAGGAGAAAGAAGAAACCTATCAAGCTGGACCTCAACAAAATCCTTACCCTTTCTGTTATTTGACCAGGTGAAGGGGTGACCCACACTAGGACAGGCTACTGAATTGAGGAGTTGGGTAAAATGTCTAAAGGATTGAAAAGAAGCTTCCCCTCTCACCAAAACCCCATTCTTCTCATCATTACTAAGAATGTCATTGAAATCCCCCCCAATGAACCAAAGATTACCCCAGGTAAGGTGATGCCTAATGAGCAGCTCCCACTGCTTCTGTCTAAGATAAGGATCAACACTGGCATAAATGAACACTCCCCACATAGGATCAGCAAAACCATTTAGCAAAAATTTGACTTCAAAACAGAAGTTATTATCAACAACTTCTAGAACCTGAATTTTGGAAGACCAACACAAAAGAAGACCCCCTTTACTACCAATAGGGTCAACACACTTCCATCTATCACCTACAAGCAAGTTTTTACAAACAATAGTAACAAAAGACTTCTTTTTTTTTTTGTTTCAGAAAGGAAAATGAAATCAGGGAGGTAGGCTCTGACATTGTCCTTCAACTGGGAAATTGTAGAGGGTCCCCCCAAACCTCTACAATTCCACACCAAAACTCTCATTTGGAAACTTGGGACCAGTTATGGCTGGTTTCCTCCACCACAATATCAGAGACAATTTGGGTATTTTTCTGCTTTTTAGGAACAGACTCACAGTGAGTAACAACATCAACAATACTCTCATTGGTTTTCCTCTTCAAAACAGATTTTGTTGGTTTAGTCTCAGATTTAGGGTCTGGGATGCAAACTGGGTGTGTAGTAGTGGCAGATGTTTTGTTTCTGGTGAGTCTCACAAAGGTTTTGGGCTTTTGGGTAGTAGTAGATGGGGATAAACTTTGGAGGATTGGAATGTTCGCCAATTTTTCAGAATTGATGGGAGGGGACTTGCAAACATCTAACTCCATATTGGCACAAGGATGACTCTCACTCACCCCCACACTCCCCTCTTGAATAGAGGAATAGGGATTTCACCTAAATTGTCTTGCTCAGACTCCTCAGGGATAATAACAGTGGTTTTGCCTGTAGCAGCAATGATAGTTTCAATAGGTTGGCTTTGATTATCAATTTGGTCAGTGGTTTTGGCTATACTAGAATCTGAGTTCAGGTTGACATTTGAAGGACTAGAAGATCTTCGCTCTCTCAGATCAAACCCTCCTATATAGGAACCTCTTAGCCAATCCCCATATTGTCCTGTCCGCATCGCATTCCTTTGGATATCTAATTTCTTATGATCACATTGCCTCTCATTGTGGCCAATCTTTCCACAGTAGAAACAGAAGGTTAACAACTTCTCATATCTGAAATCAACCCAGTGCTCTTCTGACTCCAATTTCAGTTTTGTGCCTCTTGGAATGGGTTCCAGAGCATTTAGTTCAACCAGAATCTTCACAATTTTTGCATTTATGCTGCCTTTGCCTGGTATCATAACATCACTGACACGTTCAAAAAGTCTCCCGACCTTCAAACCCGTTTCCTCCGAGATCCAGTGGAGGGGTAGATTATGCACCTGCACCCATAGTTCTATACGGAGGTCTTCATCTCGGAATTCCACTTGATTCTTTTTCCATTCCTTGAGCAGTAAATATTGGCCATCAAAGGACCATGTTCTGCCTTTGAGAATACGACATTTATCTTCCTCAGCTTGGAAAAGAAACTGAAATAAGTTGGGCCCAATCACCCTGATCGAAAAGGGTTTACTTGTTCTCCATACCAGGCTCATGGTAGTTTTTAGCCCTCCCAGATTGACGTTTTTCGCTCCAATAATTTTGCCAATTAGACTGCGCTCACATTCATGGAGACCCGGTTCAATATCTGTATTTGCCAAACTTATCCCTTGGCGCTCTTTATCGGATAGCTCAAACTTTCGCATTTGGTCAATTAGATCTTTCTCCATCCTTGAAAGCTTCAGGACTTAACTAAGGTGTAGGAGTCAGTGAAGAGCAAGAACCTGCAGAGAAAGGGAAGGACAAGACAGCAAAAGGATTAGCAATGAAATGGAAACCCTAGTGAAGAGAGAAATAAAGAAACTCTAAACAGGGGGAAGAGGAAACAAAATGCTAGGAACCCTAAAGAACAGGGGAAAAGGAAGAATCAGATATATCGAAGATAAGATCGGAGAGAATATAGAGGATCGAAACCCAAATCCTAACCATAGGAACCGACCAACTCTAAGGGGTGTGTATTCAATTCGGATTTTTAGTGACTTTTTAAGACTTTCAAAATATTGGTGTATTCAATTGAAACTTTTTGAGACTCTCTAAAAGTTTACATGTATTCAATTAAAACTTTCCAAGAGTCTCTACAAGTTTCCTGTTATTCAATTTAGGAAGATTTTAAGAGACTTTTCAAAGCAAAAGATTCTTGGAGACTTTTTTGTCAAAATATAAAGGCACGATCCCTGTGAAAATCTCACCAAAGTTGTGAGATTTTGTTGAGCGTAACAGACTCTTTTTTCTCTTGTTACAAAGGTATTCCATACTCTTCTCTCTCTAGGGTTTTTATTTTTTATTGTGAGTTGGTGGTTGATTCAATTTGGTTTGATTTCTTCAATGGCTGATTCCATCCATCTTTCATAATTTTTTATAGCTTATGTATCAGTTTTGTGTTCTGTATGCGTGAGACGTCAAAGTTATGCGGATTGCGGATTTTTTTTTTGGAGCTTTTAATTATGTAGATGATAGCTACAAATTTCTTGTTTTCGGAGCTTAATTAATGTAGATGATAGATACAAAATTCTTGAATTGATTGGGCTGAAGGCTTGCTTTTGGATTTTTTTATAGGATTAATCAATGATGCTAATAAAATATGTATTTTACTTGTCTTTCTTGGTTTATTTTTAGTTGTGGATAATATATAATGTTCACACTGCATGTTTCGTATGTTGGGTGCTCAAGAATTTTAAATATTGTATAAGCTGTGAGGTTGAGGTTGATTTACCCTGTTTGTTTTTATGGTTACAATCAATGTTGGCTTATATTGTATCATTATTTACGGAAACTAGTGTTGATACATATTTCTTGGAGTAAAAATTTTGTAGGTAACCAGCAAACTTGTCAATTAAATTTTGTATTTTTTGGAGTAAAATACATATTTTATTATTCTTTATTAATCTTGTAGGCAACCAACATAACTTGTCAATTGAATTTCAATTTCCTATAATCCTATTCCGTATTATGTTTTTCATATATAATGCCAGTTAGTCAACGAAAATATGTAATAGAGGCTGTTATGGTCATAAGAAATAATAAAATTACAAGTTAATCAATATTTATTATAATCTGGTTGACTTTGGGCTAATTGTTTGTTTGTGTTTGTTTTTGTGTATCATGTCAGTTAATCTTGTAGGCACAAGACATCATGTATCACATGAAACTGAACTCATTATCTTGTAGGCACTAGGCACCATGTTAATCTTTGGGCTAATTGTTTGTTTGTGTTTGTTTCACAATTTTCAAAACCGCTCCTCCTTCCCCATATCGTACACAAGTAGAGCTACTCTTAGCGTGCGCAGGATTACATAATTTTTTGTGTAAAGATTGTCGATCTGACGAATTTCCAGTTGACATTGAAGATGGAGATTCAATAGAAGTTGAAGCGCAAGATTTTGGACCATACTTTGAGAGTCAAGAACATGAAAGAGAAGCTGCAAATACATGGAGATTGAGTTTGGCAACGAACATGTGGAATGATGTTGTAAATATTTGATGTATTGCTCATTTCATTTTTGTTCTTTTTGATTTTTTTCTACTTTCACTAAAATTTCAAGAAGATAACTATTGTACTCTTTTAGTTCGATTGTTGAATGTTTTTTAAGCTTTTTATCTTATCGAGTTCGTTTGTCATAATATTTTTTGTTCTCTTGTCTTCGTCTTGCTGTGGATATTGCTTAATATCATAACACATTTTAAATTAATATTATAATTTTTTAATTGTTAATTTGATTTTATAGATACTAGTTATTATGTTCATAATTTTTTAAGAACATTTCATACAAATTTATTATTATATAAGAATAATATAAGAGTTTTAGAAAGTCTCAAAAAGTTCACACTGAAAGTCTTAAAAAATCTCCATATCAATCTCACAAAATCCACAAAAGTAATTAAAAGTTGCATAAAGTCCACAAAAGTCATCTACTTAAAAAAGTCTTAAAAAGTCACTAAAAGTCCTAATTGAATACACTCCCTTAAGATAGAGAGAGAAATTTCCTAAAGAGAAAACTCGGTTGTTTTGTGGTGCCTAATTACATCATCTCACCCCAATTGTACATAGCGCCAGTGAAAATTGGAAATTTTTGGGACTATGGGAAGCGAAAGTTCAGATATCCATTGGGAGGATTTCCCCCTCACTGATGAAGACCTTCGAGCCATTGATTCCGCGATTAGCTCAGCCGCGGCTCCAAAGCGCCACCTTCTCTGTCCCGGCGACCAACAAGGCCGCTCCGTTGCCTCTCCTCCCAAAACTCGCCGCCGATTGCCCGATTCTCTATTCGTTTTCCAAAATAATAATAGTTCAACCTTCTCCTTTTCAAATCATGAGAGAACTAATCGCTGCCTCTCTACTTTTCAAGGTATTTGCATTTCATTTTCTCTAACTCACATTTCTACGGTTGGCTATTTGTTTAGTTTTTGAACACGCTACACCAGTTGGTTGGTGCGTGCTTATATTTTTCTTCGGAAAGTGTGATTGTGATTTTTCCTCATGAATTCTGTATGATTGCATTTTTCCCTCCATCCCTCCCTTTCTTCTTCTTTTTCCTTTTCTTCGTAAAAGGTTGGAACTTGGAACATCGTTGTTATAATGGCGTTCATATTTTGGTATTTTTCCATTTCGCTTAAGAATGGGTTTTATTCAATAGGCATATATACCAGCTTACACCAGACACAAGATTAATGTTAGAGAGTATGGCAATAGCTTTTGCATTCATTAAAATTGTTTTAGAAAGTTTTACTTTTTTAATACATTTTTGGTTCGTGACCATTGTATATAAATGACAAGTGTGATGCTACTTCTGCCTCAATGCGTATTCTTGCATTAATCAGTTGAAACTATGCCTTTTTTGATGATGTGATCAGTATGAAAAATCTATCTTGCTTCGTGGACTTAAGGGCACTGTTTGTGTCCTTTGGTTGTTCTACAATCAGTTCTGTTGTTGGAAAGTAAAACCTTGAATTAATAGTATGAGAAATGAAAACTCGGAAAGATGTTGGGTATTGGTTTTAATTGTTGCATTGCTGAATTCATGAACTTATTTATTTTTGCCTTTCCTTTTTACAAGAAAATATGCACTTCTGATAAGTTATATTATGTCATTTGAGTCTCCTTTATCAAGCTGACATGGAATATGCTGCTGATAATGATTTAACCAAAATGCAAAGTGCTTAATGGATTGTTTTCAGGATGGTTAAATTTTTGAGCTGTAGAGAGTTGGTTTTACAAAATGCCGAAGCCTTCAGATAAAAAAGGACAACTAGCATGGTCATTCTTCATAATGTCATGTTTATTGTGTTAGCACTTAGCATCTTGATCGTTCTTGTATTTATTTATATATGCATTCTGTTCAACATTGTACTAATTAATAAGAATTCAGTTTTGTAGAACCAGAAAATCACTTTCTATTTTTCTTACATGCAAAAATTAAACAATCACGTTTGTGCCCCCACCAAATTGGATATTGTTATTGTTATTGTTGTTTCATTTATTTGTTTTCCTTGTTCATAGACATAAAATATGGAGGCCGTATTATATATAGTAGAACAGTAGAAGAGGTGGAAAAAGCTGCAGAAGAGCTTCTAGATTTTGTGGAAACTAAGAAAAGAAAGGATGGCGAGTGCATCCTTGGTCTTGATATTGAGTGGAAGCCGACATTCACAAGAGGTATTCCTATTTAATAAGTACATAAATTTAGATCAAGCCGGAGTACCGATAGCAATATGTCCATGACTACATACAACATTGTGTTTTACCTAGAACATTTGCCCTAGAGGTAAATTACCGAGATATTATGATACATCTATTTTCATATGGAGACACACCATAGTGCATCTCGACTAACGAGTCATTTCTTACAATCGGGTGTTATTTAGATAACTTCTAGTGAACTGCTCATGACAACTATGTATTTTGTCCTGACTCCATCAAACGCTCACTGATAATTGATCATGCAAACCTATATTTATTGACCTCAACTAATGGCGTAGAGAAAGCATAAACAAACGGGAGCATTGAGAGACAACTCTCCTATTTTCTTAATTCAATCAAAATCAACCAAGTCTTCAAAAAATAGAATAGAAGTCTTAAATAGGACTCATAAGAAATCTACTTAACATAAACTTAGGACTCCTAAAAAACCTACTTACCATAAAACTTAGGACTCTTAAGAGATACCTACTTACCATAAACTTTCCTACCAAATAAAAGACTAGAATAATTATTATTTTTTAAATAATAATTAAATAAAAGAATAAATAATTAAACTAAAGATGTCAAACAATCATGCTTGTCTAGGAAAGCCAACACAATCTCATCTATATCAACTAATATGAAGGTGACATTATTGATTCCTTATAAAGAAAGTTCAAGAGTGATCATCATACTTCTTGTTTTATCATGTTTTCTTTGATATAATTTCGGATTGTTTCTTAGGTCCATAGTTAATCTGACTTCAATATTAAACCAAAATGTCTATCCTTCATCAAGCTTAGCAACCTGCATTATACATTATGTACAGACTGCTCAAGTCCTTTTCTTTTATTTCTTTTTTGTTTTTGCTTGTCATTGTATTGGAATTGCTAATATAGCTCAATGATGTCTGGACTCTCGATATTTCCTTAGCATTTCATTGAATATGAATTTGACACATCTAGACACAATTTTTCATCAAACTTACCTGCATCTATACAACACGTTCAATAGCTTCTCTGTTTACTCAAGTATTAATGTTCTCTCCTGTATGTATTTTGATAGGAATCCTTTAGCATATACATATATTAGATCAATGATCAAAGTTGAATTTAATATTGGACATGATTGGCTTTTATCTCTATTTCTTGCTTGATTTATAATCTGATATTAAAGTTCAAAGGATTCTCTATTAGGTGAAAGGATAGGGCTGATATTCTCAAGTAATTGGTCGAGCGACAAGACCTCATAATATATTCTTCTAAACTATTTACTCTTTTTCTTTTACCTATATTTATTTTTCTTAACTTATATACATATATATGTCTTTTAATTTATTTGATACCTATACATTTCAATTAACCATTATTCTTCTGAGTGACTTGCTTAATTAGTAATTATGTCTCCACATACTTCATACTTTTTTTCCTGTGGGGTACATTTTATATTCCATTCTAAATTTGTGTATCTTTATATATGTATGATGTGAGTATAACTATATTATTGTTTTCGGTTAACTGTACCACTCTTTATTTGTGGGTCCACATTTTTTCACTTGTTAAAGCATTTAGGGGGGGCGATGGGCTACATAATGTAATCAGTGACCAGATAAATTTGTTTTACACCTTTAAACTCCAAATCCAACTAAACTCCCATCAATATTATCAATATAATTAAATAAGATTAATAAATCATCCTCACACATCACATCAACTTTAGTTCAATATTCATCTATTCACATATTTTTAACTACCTATTACTTTCAATAACATCTCTCATATTTTTACACCACATCAACATTAATCATTACATTTTAAAAACTATTTAATTACAAACTCAAAATCCCACTCAATCAATTTTATTCAAAATAGCTCACTTTAATCTCATCAAATCCAATAAAAAAAACGGTTTTATTTATATTCAATCGCCCCTTAATGCTTTTACACCTTTTAACAATGTAACCCACCCCCTCATTTTGATATGTGCCTACATTGGGTTAACACCATGGAGGCATTATAACACTTGAGTTGCCTTATTACATTGTGCATTGTAAGGTAAACAGAGAAGTTAATATTAATGTTAGTGATGTGACATTCAAATCACTACAACTACATGTTTTCATTGGAGACAAATAAAATATACCTAAATTATTTGGGGTATATTCGTTTGGAATTTGAGTGACATTTTGATATTTTTGAAATTTGAGACTTTATTATATTTAAATTTAAGAGGAATCATATAAAAATCTTAAGTATGAAAGTAAGATATGAAGTAGAATTTTGTATATAGTTTCTTAATCATACAAAGTCCTAACAAATCAGTTAAAAATAAGTTAAAAATAAGTTAAGTACCTCATGATTTTTTAAAACTTTATAAAATTTCAATTGAATACCCCAAAACTTTTTAAAATTTATAAAGTCTTATAACGTCGAAGTTATATACACTAGAATTCTTAAAATCTAAAAAAATATTTAGAAATTGAAACGAATACGACCCCTTAGATTCTTTAAACAAAAGAAAGAAAACTAATTTGTGTAATGTATTCCAAAATTTTCCCGTATAATGAAATATAATTTTTTGATACGTACAAAATCTTTGTTTCTTAGAATATATAAATATTTTCATATATTGATAAATTATTTCATGGTACTACATATAAGAAATTATGTTTTCTTATATTTATTTCTTATCTGTTCATAAATTCTTATTTTGTAGATAGTTGTATTTTATTTTTATATATACTATGTGTATTAATTGAAAATCTTAAAATTCTATTTAATTGATATATTATATAAAAAATAGGGATGAACAAAATAGTTTGTAAAAGTTTTCGCAAAAGGAAATTTTATAGACATAGTTTTTTGACATTTTTTTCTTTTTAGCATTATCTATATTTTTTTAGAAACAAATTTTATTAACTTCTTTATTTATTTTCACAATTAATTAATTGATTTTTTTTTGGTAATTCTAGACATCTTCGTAAAAATATATCAACTGTTATAAAGAATTTTTTAATAATATAAATTACAATCTAATCATTTATTTTAGGCTATACATACGAATTTATTGCATTATGTTGAATGCATAAAAGGAGAATGTAATTTTATTTTAATGTCCTTTCTATGTCATAACACCATGATATATAAATTGATATGCAAAATATTTTGATTTGATACTGACCCATGCTGATGTCTGTCATTGCTCAATTGGATATTATATTAATTTTTTTTTTCAATTATTATATTTATGTTTGATAAAAATATATGAAAGATTCAAGAAAGAAATGATTTTATTTTTTGGTAATCGGGTTGATTAAATAGGGTCATTATGTCACTTTTAGGTTATTTGTACAATATGTCATAACTTGGGTTCCATTCCGGGCGATCATGTCATGGGCCAACTTAGTTGGACCAAATTGAGTGTTCAAACTAAAGATGCATTAAAATAAGAAAAAACATTGTTAAGATAAATATAATGTAATCTAAATAATAAAATCAAGACTGCTTGTATGAGAAGATGTTGACCTTATTTTATTAATATTTATGTGAATAAAGTGATGGTATATTATAACTTCTATCTGATATTGTATATAGTAAATAGTAATACATGTCATTTAATATTTTAATTTTTGATACAACTTTAATATTGTTTCCCCTGTTCAGATGAGCCATATTAGTTTTTTTGAATTATTTAGATAATTAGTGATTAAAAAGGGTGGTAACAAAGGCATATTTGTATTTTCAAAAGAACTCCCGTTTTATACATTGATCTAAACACTAAAAATGTGGTGAGTAAGCAGGGTTGCTAGTTTTCTAAGAATCAATACTATTTTCGGCAGGTGTTGCCCTTGGGAAAGCTGCAGTTATGCAGATATGTGGAGACAATAGTTGTTGTTATGTGTTGCACATTTTTCACTCTGGCATTCCTAAAAATTTGCGAACTTTGCTCGAGGACTACTCTTCTTTGAAGGTGTCGTTTTACATATGAAGCCATTAAAACAATTATCAGAATTTTTTGTTTTACCTATGTAATTCTTTTTTTATATTTTTTAATTTTCTTCTAGTACTGTTTATCATCTTAACCCCATTGAGTGCTCATAGGTGGGTGTGTGTATTGCAAATGATGCAGCTAAGGTCCATCATGATTATAATACATTAATTAATAACTTAGAAGATCTTTCCGATCTAGCCAATCAAAAGCTTGGTGGGGAACCCAAGAAGTGGAGTCTATCATCGCTAACTGAGATGCTCATTTGCAGACAGGTACCTGAATACCCATTCTGGAAAATTTTCGTCAAAGATTTTAGGAGAATGATTCTTTGAAACTTCTGAATATGTGCCAATGTAATAGGCATTGGGACAAATATGACCGACATTTCTAACAATAAATTAAAATAATTTAAAAGAATAAGAATTACAGACTGGTAGTTCATCAGATTGAACTGTTTAGATAAATTATGTGCAATGATAATTTTGTAGTTTTTATGATAAGTACTCAAGTTAATTCTCTGAAATAGATTGTAAATGAAAGTATGATTGGATACGAATTATTTCAGAAAAAAATTATCTCAATAGTTAATGTGATGAAAATATGGAAAAGGATGATTTATTTTTGAGTTTGTGACTAAATATGGATATTTTGTGATTAAAATTGATGTGATATAAAGTAGTCTAATAATTGGTTGGTAATTAAATATATGTGAGTGGGGGAATAATGATTTTGCTGGAAAGTGTGTAGTAATGATTTGTTTATATTTTTATTTGTGTTGATAAGAATGTAGAGAAAATAATGTAAAAATTGATAAAAAGTAAGTTTTTCGAAAAAATTGTATCCAATCACATATTTAGCGAAAGCAATTTATCCGACTAGATGAAATTGGGGATAATTTATATCTAATCACCCATACAAATAAAATTTGAAACATTATTGATAATTTCAGAACCGACACCAATCATAGTTAAACTTGATATAACTAATGAAATAATCAAAACTTTGGTCAATTCAATTTATTCCGAAGTAGTTCTTCAAGTGTGCCTACTGCAACTAGTTAAACTCTTATTTACAAAAGACTGAACCAAATCGGAACACAGATCTTACAAATGAAACCAATGGAAAAAATGACAAACGGGGGTTGACGGGTGCGGTCCGACGGACGAAGCGCTCCAAATCAGGGAAGCCCAAATGAAGCCCAAGTGAGGTTCTATCCCAAAACCAATTGGTGGTAGGAAGAATAGCCCACTAGGCTTATAAGTTAGACCTATTTTCCCTGTACATACGATGTGGGACAACTCACAAGTGTATATTCTGACATCCCCCTCACTTGCGAGTCCTTCGGAAACCCAAGCCCAACTGGGGTGACGGGTACGTCATTGCACGGTTCCACGAAGGCCCAAGTCCAACTGGGATGGGTGAACCGTCTCTGATACCATGACAAACGGGGGTTGACGGGTGCGGTTCCAAGGATGAAGCGCACCAAATCAGGGAAGCCCAAATGAAGCCCAAGTGAGGTTCCATCCTAAAACCAATTGGTGGTAGGAGGAGTAACTCACTAGGCTTATAAGGTGGGTCTATTTTTCCTGTATAGACGATGTGGGACAACTCACAAGTGTATATTCTGACATCCCCCACTTGTGAGTCCTTTGGAAGCCCAAGCCCAACTGGGCTGGGTGACGGGTGCGTCATTGCACGGTCCCACGAAGGCCCAAGCCCAACTGGGCTGGGCTGGGTGAACCGTCTCTGATACCATGACAAACGGGGTTGACGGGTGCGGTCCCTCGGACGAAGCGCACCAAATCAGAATATACACTTGTGAGTTGTCCCACATCGTCTGAAAAATAGGTTTAACTTATAAGCCTAGTGGGCTACTCCTCCTACCACCAATTGGTTTTGGGATGGAACCTCACTTGAGCTTCCCTGATTTGATGCGCTTCGTTCGTGGGACCGCACCCGTTCTACCCCCGATTCTCACTGCCATGTTCTTTTTTTGTAGTAATTCCAACCATAGTATTGAACGATGTTGTCAATTATTTTGCATGNTTTTATTCCTATTGAATTTTGCTCGCTCCTATCTAGTACTTTTCATATATTTCTAGGATTGTTTCACACATTGTGATCGCTGAGACATTTTCGATCTTGAGTTTCTTGGTCATGTTATAGGAATATTCTGATTAAATTTGGTTAGCTAGTTAGTCAGTTGCTGCCATTATTATACCTTTTGAGAGATGTCACTTGTTAATTGTCTCACTGTGATTAATTAGAAAGAGGGAGACCGCTATGTAAAGCCTAGTGAACTACTCATTTCATTAATTTGTTTTCGGATAATACCTCACTTGGCGTGTTTGTACGTCCGGGCACCAAAAAGTGGCTGGTTGAGTCATATTCGTCCCCAACAAACCCTTTTTGTATTCTATCATGCCTAATGGATTTCATATCGCTTGTTTGGCTTGCCCGAGCATTCGCCGAAGATCGAACGCTTTTGAGTCCAACAATTTTTGAATTTCTTATACTTAATTTTTAGTAGGGCTGAGCACGGACCCGTAGAATACCGAATAGTTCTAAAAACCGAATTGAAATAACTTCGAACGCCTATTGACCGTTAAATTTTCTCCAATCCGAAACGAATCGAAAAAATATTCGGTATGGTTCTATAGATTGCATAAATATGTGTATCGATGTTTGAACTGAACTATAACTTTAAATGTGTTTCTTTTGCTTTTATGTCAATTTAGTCGTAGATTACTTGATTATTTTGTTAATACTTAATAACATATAATAATAGTAATTAAACTTCATACAAATTTAATATTCCTAAAAGTTTAATTATATTACATTTTTTGTTATGCTTCTAATTTTTATTATATCTTAGATATACAATTAAAATGATATGAACAATAGAAAATATATTTTTCAGAATCATGAATTTAATTTTTCACCATTTGTTTTTACAAATAAGTATAGTTTTAACTAAAATTGTTTTTCATTTATGTTTTTCTAATTTGTTAATGGTGATTTCAAAATTAAAATCTTAATATGATTAAAAATTCATTAAAAGTCGAAAGTTAAAAAACTTGCAATATTATGTTATAATTTGAAACAAAAAAATAAATAAAAAAATGATGCAAATTACTAATTTTATATTCTTATTTCAATTTAATAATTAGGAGTCTCCGAATATTTGATCCGAACCATACCAATTCAAATCCGTACCGATAGATTCGAATCTTCGAACCCAACCGAATCGAACTGAACCGTTCCATGCTCACCTCTAAGATTGTTCTCACATATACTACTTAAAATTAAATACTCATTTACATTAAAATAGTTTTTAGAAAAATTTTAAATCTTTCATGTACAAAATATAGTAAAATAGGTACAAAACCAATTTTTGTTACTATCCACCACATGAATGAAATTAATGCAGGCAATATTTTATGACATTTGATATACTAGCCAGGCGATATGATTTGAAATTACTGGTCGTTTATGTGTACCAAGACAATTGTACTCACCCAACAACATCTTAACACTTTCGTATTCTTATGTTTTGTTAATTTTGGCCTTGGACCATGTCTCAGTTAAGTAATTGTTCATTTGAAGCAGACAATTACTTTTCACTTACATAGACGATTCTTTTATAAAGAGTATTCTGCCTTTACCCATGGGTATGAGAATCATTAGAAGTGCATGACTTATTCTTACAACTTAGGCGAATTTTAAACTTGAAGGTTCTATGAATGAACAAATATACTATACTTTTCAAGTGTTTCACTATACAGACGAAATTTAGTATTCCCATCGAATCAAGATTTTGGGATCTTGTTCTCATGGTTGAGTTACCGCTAAGATTGTTCGTTTGTTTTAGATTTTGTTAAGCTCATTTTCCTATCCGGTTTGTACAATTTTTCTCATTTCATGTTTTTTGTAAATGATCCGTTAGGTTAATATTTAACTTCTCCTAGCCAACCCATATAACCTTCACAGGTAATTAGTTGTTTTACGTGTTAAGTCTTCTACATAAATATCGAGACTTATCATTGTACAACTTACTTTTGCTCTTCAAATCACCTATTGATTATAAAAAATAATCACCGTGATCCGTTACAACAAGGATTAACTTTTAAAAAATTTCTAAGTCATTCAACCTCTTCTCAACATTGTTCAAATTTTTAAACTCGGACTTCATTGTAGATCTAGCTTTTCACGTTTGCTTATATTATTTATCGGCCACAACTTTACCGCCTGCAGTGAACACCTATTCACTTGTAGAGTTAGAGTTTTTTCTTGTCCTATAGCCGATTCAACAAGATAAAAAATCATTGCCCGAGTCTTAGCCGGAGGTTTATCGAACACATCGAATCTCTTTCGAATATTTTTGATATTATGAAATTGTGATAAATCAATTATTTCCGATCTCTTAGAAGCGTAATCTCCATAATCATCTTGGATTTTCTACAAATCTTTCATGCCAAAATTTATCTTCTTATGAACACATCATGATTGTTTTTCAAGATCAACATACTTACAATCACAAAGTGACAGCAGAACTTTTAATATAGAAACATATTGTCAATCATTGATTTTAAAATCATTTGACAAAATAGCTTTACCAATTTTTTCATGCCATTACTTAGGTACTCTACCTTGGGCCAAAAGCCCCTCACATATCAAGGTATAAGTATGAAAGCTATTGTTCTTTTTTTTACTCAAACGGAGTTTCGTTCTACCTTATGTGGTGTTTTAATAAAATTTTGTCAAAATTATTACTTAATGACAACAACAATCATGATTTAAAATAATAGTAAAGACACCATTAAGTAGGAAAATTAAACACAAATGAGACTTTTCTAGCTGTCAAATTTACACAAATAAAAAAATGATTGATTTTATTTTTGAATTTTCAACATATATTTTTTTAATTTAATATTATTTAATCATACTTTTATTTAATAGTATTCAAGTTGGTATTTCAGTGATTCTTCCATGTTATATGATTTATGATGAAATATACCCAATTTTATTAAACTAATGGAAAATATTAATTATAATATAAGAATAAATCCAATAAACATCAAAGTTTGAATCTGTTCCTCAAGATTGGTTGTGGTAGCTATTGGTTGACTTGAACTTGAAATTACTTATCTGCATGTCAGATATTAGGATATACTATGGGTTAGAATTTTCTGATTCTGTTAATATGCAGCACTTTTGTGTTACAAAACAAGCCTTTGTATTTGTACAAAATATATAAATTTCTCTAACCATGGTGGCAATTTGCATGTTATCTTGGTGGATGCCAGCCAAGTGCCTGGTGCTGAGAATGTTTGCACTTCGACTTGGCTTTCATGTTTGTAAAATTGTATGTTTTTCTTGATTATTACATCAGAAAATCTGAAAAGGTTTAATGCATGTGTTTCTCCATTGCTATTCAAGTACTTCGTGCTCTGATTTTACTTCTATGGCAATGGGCTGCCTTCTATATAATCCGTTGGCCATGCGGAAAAATAATTTTCTATTTATTAGACAAGTAAGTTTTCACGCACCTATCATTTGAATCACCTTCAAATTCTACTCCATTACAGCTTTTTCGGGTCTGTCATGTGTATTCACTATTCAGTATAACAAATGGTCATCTATGTGGTTTGAATGAGAGTGCAAGAGCTTGTACTCAGTTCATTAAATTCTAACTAGTGCATTTCGACTTTTGTAGCTTCCCAAGCCAGCTAAAATCAGGTTAGGAAATTGGGAAGTTGATGTTCTATCAAGAGAACAAATAAAATATGCTGCCACTGATGCATACGTCTCTTGGTACCTGTATCAGGTATAGGTTGCCTTTAATTTTGCTCTTGTTGGGCGTGCTCTAGTTCCTTTCTCATTGTCTTTCTCCATAATTTATTTTTATATATTTTCTTGGTACTTAATACCGGAGTTCTGAAAATTCTTTCGTGCATTACAGGTGCTGAAAACCTATGCAGACCCTAGTGGTAACTCAGGTGTGGAAATTGCTGTCGACAAAATTACTCGATAATGTCAATCGGAACCCGTGGTTAATTTTGTGTGATAGAGTTCACTGGTTAAAAGTAAAAATCATACACCTTGTTCTTGCTCTAGGCTCGTATTGCCCTTGCAACTCGTTGCAATTTCTCATGGTAATTTGAACTGTGAACATCAACTTTCTAGGAAATATTGTTGAGTGTTACAAGGCGTGGCCAATGTTGTGGGTTTTCCTTTGAAGAGGATATTTATTGGGTGCAATTTTGTTGCAATTAACTGAACTTGTATTCTTGAACAGTAGAATTCAAGTTAGTTTCAGGCTGGGAAATTGGGTCTTTGTTATCGGCTAGATTGACTGACTGTCGATTCTTCTGAACATGGAGATTTTTCCATGCACTTGAGATGGAGAATTAACATGCACTTGAGATGGAGTTTGAAAGAATGTATCAATTGTTTTATGAAGTTTCTCCTCATTCATTGTATTCTGCCGGCTATACCAAATGCAATATGCGATCTGTTTGCCCATTCATTGTATTTTTGAAGTAAATATTGTTGACATTACACTTCTAGGAGGATTGTAGGCGTTCCACTATTTCACATTGAATAGCCTCCAGAGTNAACTTAGGCACAAAGTTTTGTTCATTTTGGAGAATTATAATGGGATTCATAAACATTAGAGGTTTAATCTTTGGATTTTAATATCTCCGGGAATGAGCCACAAAGATCCTACCAAAAAAACAAAAAAAATAACCACAAAATATAGACTAAATCTCTCTCCACAACGGTCAAGCCTCGCCTAGCAACCACAAGCAAACCAACACCCAGATGACAACCCAAAGGATCAATTCTCAGCCAAAATCCTATATACTTCGCGACCGGCTATCAAAACCCGGACCAAAGACGAAGCCCTACCCATGAGGTGACTCTCGGTCTAGCACCAACGAAGCCGCGACAAGACCCCTAGACTAGCCAGCGACAAGTCGTAGCCGCCGCTGTCGGCTGCACAAAGTGGCCCGACGACCACCACAATCGCATCTGCCATGGCCGTCCTAAGGGAAAGAAGGGGGAACCCACGCGAGGAAGAGAGCGGCGATCCTCAGATCGGCGACCGACGACCGACGTCGGTACCGCCACGGGAACTGGCTCCCGCCGGAGGAAGGGGAGCACCGCTGTGGAGAGGCGCGCCGAAAATCAGGGTTTACTTTGGAAATGGGGATTTGAGTTTTTGTCTGATATTGTTTTATAGTTGATGGTGAAAGGCATTTAATAATTGTATGCATAATATACATATATATATATATATATATATTTATTTGTCACACGAATGGTGTACTAATTTGAAATATCGATTGTACATAACTAACAAAGGATTTCAGTGTTGCTTCTACTTACAACAAGATGATTTGGGAGAAATGGGGACAATTAGATCAAGCAGAAAGCAGCAAAGAACAAGTGGTGGGGAGAAAGGTTAGGAAGGAAAGCTGGTCACTCAAAGTCAAAGGAAAACTAAAGCATTTCCTCTGGAAGTGCTATTCAAATCTTATCCCAGTTAATTGTAACCTCATCAAGAAAGGAATTCAAGTAGATCTGATGTAGAACGTGAATAAGAACGAGATAAAAGAGATACTCTCTCTTCAGAAAACACGCAAGAACAGATATCTATTTCTCAAATTCAACTCCCCTTACGTTTTTTGCCAGATAGATAATAAATAGAGTTCAAGATCTCCTAACTTGTCAAACAAGTAAATAAATATCTCTTAACCAACTAATCAAGAGAAATACGGAATAGGAATAATAATAATTATGCAACGTAAATAATTAAGCTAATGCCGGAAGCCGATCGTATTTATTCAAAAAAGCCATCGCGAGCTCGTCTCCATCATCCTCCCCCGGTTGAGAAGGATTCGGCCTCGTGAAAGGAGCCAACTGGAGGAATCGTTTGCATGCAAAGGAGCCAACTTTGCCACGTGAAAAACGTCTGACAAATGAGCATGAGAGGGCAAGTGAAGACGGTAACCATCTGGAGGAAACCAATCGAGAACCTAGTAAGGGCCCACTCGCCAGTCCACCAGAGAAACAACCCACACAAAGTCGCCCACATCAAAGACCACAGAACGACTGTCCACTTCTCTAACCAAGTCACCACGTGGCCCATCCCGAGAAAGAAACAATGTCGTCGACGTTTGGTGCAAAGGAACCGCACGGGATGCCGAGGGATGTAAGACAACCCGATTGCCCTCAAACAAAAATCCAAACGTGTTAAGGCGCCCATCATGAACCACGGCACGATCAAACTGCCATGGACGCCCTAATAAACGGTGCCAATCATCCATAGGCACGACATCGCACCACACCTCATCCCGATATGCAGAGCCAATCGAGAAAGACACCAACACACGCCTATTAACAGGGACCATGTTGTCACGCTGTATCCAAGCAAGAGCATAAGGATCTGGATGCGGCTCTGTCGACAATCCAAGCTTTTCCACCGCCTCGTCAGATATCACGTTCTCGCATGACCCGGAATCAATAACAAAACGGCACACCCGGCCGCCCATGGTGCACGTAGATTCGAAAAGCTGGCGACGCAGGCCCTTGTCAGTGGAAATGATGGGTGGGGACAAAAGAGAGCGACGAAGGACAAGCGCGTGTCCCACGTCTCCCGAGACATGCACCTCTGGAACCTCGGGCTCTTTGTCAAAAATAGGAGGGCCATCATGTGTCGTAGCTGCCGAATATTCTGTTGTCTCCTCGGCGAACAAAGCACGCGACCCGGTCCCTCTTGGACACGCCGCCTATCGATGCCCAATCTCACCGCACCCGAAGCACCTGATCCCGCTACCAGTCCGTTGCACACCCGCGGCTGTCGTCTGCCCTCCACTGGTCACATTGTCGCGCCCCATTGCTGGTGTCGAGCCCGAGGACATGCCCGTAGTAGGTGGTCCACGTCCGGATTGCACACCAGCACTCATAGAAGCATCCGACCGGGAGGAAGTCGCAATGGACGTGCCCGCCTTGCGAGCTAACTGTTTTCAACAACGAGAGCTCATTGATGTGCATCCGAAACAGATTTCGGGACAACTACATTAAGCACATCTTGGATAGCAACATTCAAACCCCCCACATAACGAGCGACCAACTGGCCCTTCGTCTCGCTTATCTCCACACGAGTTAAGAGGCGATAAAAGTCTTCTGTATACTCGTGAACTGAACGCGGTCCTTGCCGCAAATTATGTAACTGCTGATAAGCCACATGATCATAATTATAAGGTAGAAATTCACGTTCTACGTACTTACAGAACTGCATCCAAGTGGAGATCTCTGGCTTTCCCTGACGATGCCGCAAACTCGTGAGTTGCATTCACCATGCCGCCGCTCGTCCACGGAATCGCGTGGCAACAAGCGCGACACGCCTTTCGTCTGGGACCTCCTTAAATTTGAGGACAGACGCAACAGCCGCCCACCAATCGAGGAACTCTGCTGCATCTGCTCCTCCCGAAAACTCGAGAATCTCGACCCGAAACCCCAAGTCCCAACGCGGGTCGCCGTGTCCGTCCGTCGGCCGGCGAAAATCACGCCTATAGAGCCCTTGGCCCGCTTCATCACGGCCAAAATCCGGATATGGCTGCCCGCCGCCATGGAAATCCTGTCCAACACGGCCATATCCCCAGCCACGACGTAGGTCCCACCGTCGAGCCTGGGCCCATTTCGATCAAACCATCCACTGCGGCGCTGTTGTCCTCTGCAGTGGAATCCCAAGCCGCCGTCATCAGGGCCCCAGCCACAATGCCGCTGGTCGTCTGCGTCGAAGCCATCGCCGCGCCGCCGGTCACGACGGTGCTGGTCATTATCCGCAAACCCTCCATCGCGACGGTGCTGTTCGCCCTCTTCGAAGCCGAGCTCATCGCGACGCCAATACTCGTTCCCGTCATGACCTGCTCCGCCTTGAAAGAAACCCCGCTCACGGCGCCCGATGTCGTCGTCCACAAACCCTCTGTCTCCACGCCGCCCGCCATGTCCTCCCTGCGCGTGGAATCCGTCAGGCCCACCGCGCTGCTGGTACACATCGGCGAACGGGTTGTCGATGGTTAGGGTTTCCTCAGAACCGTCGTCGCCGGGCGGTGGGAGTGGTGACTGCCGACGGGGCGCCCCGCCATAGCCTCGTCCACCACGACCACCACGAAACCCTCCGCGCACGCCCCGACCGTCGGCGTCATGGTTTGTACGCACCGCCTCCATCATGGTTCTCATGGCCAATCGTATCTCCTCGACCCCCGCAGACAAGTCCGTGAATCGATCGTCCATCCCTTGAATCCGATCGTCCATCCTCTGAAGTCAGTCTTCAATGATGTTGTCGTTTGCGTTGTTGACTTTCTTTGGCTGCATCGCAGATCGTCGCTGGTCTCTGAATACCAACTGATGTAGAACGTGAATAAGAACGGGATAAAAGAGATACTCTCTCTTCAGAAAACACGCAAGAACAGATATCTATTTCTCAAATTCAACTCCCCTTACGTTTTTTGCCAGACAGATAATAAATAGAGTTCAAGATCTCCTAACTTGTCAAACAAGTAAATAAATATCTCTTAACCAACTAATCAAGATAAATACGGAATAGGAATAATAATAATTATGCAACGTAAATAATTAAGCTAATGCCGGAAGCCGATCGTATTTATTCAGAAAAGCCATTGCGAGCTCGTCTCCATCAAGATCCCATCTGCAAGATTTGTGGAGAAGCTTATGAGTCAATGGAACACCTATTTTCCACTGTGCTCGAGCAAAAAGAATTTGGGAGTTGGCATCAGTATCATGGGAGGGACTGACTAATGAGACAATGAGCTTTAAGGGCTGGTGGAATAAGATCTGTTCTTTAAAACACTGCCACCTCTGATTCTAGAATCCAATTAACTTTGTACATCTCATGGTGGATTTGGAAATCGAGGAACCAGTGGGTTTTTGAAAACACTTTTAGGCCTGTCAAGGATGTGGTGGACATTGCTATCTCAGATTGGCAAGAATTTATGGGGTGTGAAGCAAGGTGACTTGAAGAACAACTATATTCCTTGTGTGTTCAGTGGCTGGGATTCAAGCTGCCTTGGGTTGTTGTTTGTTTTTCTATGGCTGGATTTGTTTGTTTCAGTTTTTCTGTGGCAGGCTTTGCTTGGTGGTAGTGCAGTTTGTTGTTATTGAGTGAGGGAGTTGTGTTGTAGCTGTGGTGTCTTCCTGAGGTTCTGTTATGTTGGCTTGGTTCCTTCAGTTTATGTGGCTTGCTGTTGGTGGCTGCTTGTGAAGTTAGGGGTGTTTGCAGGTTCTTGTTGGCTAGCACCTTTGTGATGTTCTGTGCAGTTGCTGCTTGTGCAGTTGTGTCCTTTGTTTCTTTGTTGTTTCTTGTATTGTTGGTAATGTTGGTGGTTAGGTAAAGGGCAGATCCAGTAGCGTCGCCTCTGTTGTTCTTTACTTAGGGCGTGTGTGGTTCTTGATTCTAAAGCACTTGTTCCTCATTGTATAACCACTCGGTCTGCTTAGGCTAGTATGCCTTCGAACTTTGTACATTAGGTTTAGTTTATTCAATCTAGGAGTGAGCATGGGTCGATACGGTTCGAAGATTGAGAAATCTCCGAAACCGTACCAAAATTCGGAGATCACTAAATTCGATCTCCAGAACTGTACGAAAAATTCGGGACGGTTCGGTTCGGAGATTTTTATATTTCGATTCGGTTTGGTACTCGAGACTATCGAAACGGTTCGGTTCGGTATGATTCGGTTCGGATCTTTGGAGATATCGAATATTTTATTTTGAAATCAACTTTAGAAGTAACTCTAGATTTTAGTTATTTATTTTTTATATGCTTTAAAAAAACCAACATTAATACTTCCTCATATTAAAGATTCTATTTTGAAATCAACTTTAGAAGTAACTCTAAATTTTAATTAAGACTAAATTTGTGCAACTAATATTGAAAATTTAAAATTCAAACAAAATATAATATAGTTTTTATTTAAAAAAATATTCTTACCATTTCATACCATTTTAAATATTTTTTTTATAACATGAAAAATTCAATTGTAGATCAAGTATTACTAAGCATGAAATTTAAGTGAAACTTAAGTGTTATTACTATATTTTTTTTGCATTTTAAAAATTCTCAATATAGGATCAAAATTGACATAAAATATATTAATAACACACATCTAATGTTATAATTCAGTTCTTAATTTCAGTTATTCGGTTCGGTACGTATGAGCGGGTTCAGTTCGGTTCTCGGTACGTATATTTTTGAAATATTCAGAACCGTACTAATTATTTTTTCGGTTCGGTTCGGTTAAAAGAAAGTCAAATTGTCAACGATTATTTTTCAGTTCGGAGTGATTTCGATTCGGGTTTTTGGAACAGTCCGAATTCTCCGAGTTCCATCTCAGCCCTAATTCAATCTATTGTTTCGTTAAAATTGGAAATATTGAGACTAAGCATCTCCAATGCTCTAATGTTGTAGTAGAATAAATTTTGCCAAATGTCAATAAATTAAATGGATTGTGAATCATGTATGAAAAATGTTAAGTCTACAACTATGAAATTAAAATATTCTCTCCAATGCACAATATAGTATAACTACAATATTGTATACTTATCAAATATTAAAAATATTAAAAAGAAGAAATTAAATTAATTAAATAATTAGATTACTTATAATTGGTAAGAATATTTCTCTCTCTTTTTTCATTGGTTAGATAGAGTATAGAAGAGAATGTGGATGAACCACATTACATTAATTATGTCCACATCATCACAACATTTGTGATCACATTGTACATTGAAGATGAAAAAATGATGAATTTATTAAATGTGTTGATGTGGAATGTAATTTACCACAACAATATTTGACCATTGGAGATGCTCTAATGGAAGCCAAAGTTCAGATATCTATTGGGATTTCCCCCTCACTGATGAAGACCTTCAAGCCATTGATTCCGCGATTAGCTCAGCCGCGGCTCCTAAGCGCCATCTTCTCTGTCCCGGCGTCCAACAAGGCGGCTCCGTCGCCTCTCCTCCCAAAACTCTCCGACGATGGCCCGATTCTCTCTTCGTTCCAAAATAATAGTAGTTCAACCTTCTCCTTTTCAAATCACGAGAGAACTAATAGCCGCCTCTCTACTTATCAAGGTAACTGCATTTCATTTTCTCTAACTCACATTTCTACGGTTGGCTATTTGTTTATTAGTTTTTGAACACGCTGCACCAGTTGGTTTGGTTCGTGTTTATATTTTCCTTCGGAAAGTGTGATCGTGAATTTTCCTCATGAATTAGGTATGATTATATTTTTCCCTCCCTCCCTCCTTTTTTCTTTTCTTCGTAAAAGGTTGGAACATCGTTAATATTTAATGGCGTTCATATTTTGGTACTTATCCATTTCGCTTACGAATGGGTTTTATTCAATAGGCATATATTACCAGCTTATACTAGACAAAAAATTAATGTTAGAGAGCATGTCAATAGCTTTTGCATTCATTAATTGTTTTATAAAGTTTTGTTTTCTTTGAGTATATTTTTGGTTTGTGACCTTTGTATATAAATGACAAATGTGATGCTACTTCTGCATCAATGCGTATTCTTGCATTATGCAGTTGAAACTATGCCTTTTTTGATGATGTGATCCATATGAAAATTCTATCTTGCTTCAGGGACTTAAGGGCACTGTTTGTGTCCTTTGGTTGTTCTACATCAGTTATGTTACTGGAAAGTAAAACCTTGAATCAAGAGTATGAGAAGTGAAAACTCGGAAAGATGTTTGGTATTGATTTTAATTGTTGCATTGCTGAATTCATGAACTTATTTCCTTTTTCCTTTCCTTTTTGCAAGAAAATATTCCCTTGTGATAAGTTATATAATGCCATTTGAGTCTCTTTTATCAAGCTGACATGGAATATGCTGCCGATAATGATTTAGCCAAAATGCAAAGTGTTTAATGGATTCTTATCAGGATGGTTGATTTTTTGAGTTGTAGAGAGCTGCTTTTACAAAATGCCAAAGCCTTCAGATAAAAAGGGACAACTAGCATGGTCATTGTTCATAATTTCATGTTTATGGGTTAGCACTTAGCATCTAGATTGTTCTTGTATTTATATATGTATTTCGTTCAACATTGTACTAATTAATGAGAATTCAGTTTTGCAGAACCAAAATCACTGTTTGTTTTTCTTACGTGCGAAAATTAAACAATTAACTTTGTGCCCGCACCAAATTGATATTGTTATTGTTATTGTTGTTTCATTTATTTATTCTTCCTTGTGCATAGACATAAAATATGGAGGCCGTATTATATATAGTAGAACAGTAGGAGAGGTGGAAAAGGCTGCAAAAGAGCTTCTAGATTTTGTGGAAACTAAGAAAAGAAAGGAGGGCGAGTGCATCCTTGGCCTTGATATTGAGTGGAAGCCGTCATTCACAAGAGGTATGCCAATTTAATTACATAAATTTGAATCAAACCGGAGTACTGGTCGCAATATGTCCATGACTACATGCAGCATTGTGTTTAACTTAGAACATTTGCCCTAGAGGTTAAATTACCGAGATATTATGATACCTCTATTTTCATATGTGACACACCATAGTGCATCTCGACTAACTTGCCATTTTTTACAATCAGGTGTTATTTAGATAACTTCTAGTGGAAACTGCTCATGATAACTATGTATTTTGTACTGACTCCGTCAGACGCTTACTGATAATTGATTATGCAAACCTTTATTATTGACCTCTACTAATGGCGTAGAGAAAGCGTAAACGAATAGGAATTGAGAGCACTCTCGTATTTTCTTAATTCAATCAAAATCAACCAAGTCTTCAAAAAAATAGAATTGAAGTCTTAATCCTAAGAAACCTACTTACCATAAACTTTAGGACTCCTAAAAAACCTACTTACCATAAACTTAGGACTCTTATGAGATTCCTACTTACCATAAACTTTCCTACCAAATAAAAGTCTAGAATAATTATTCTTTTTTAAATAATAGTAAAATAAAAGAATAAATAATTAAACTAAAGATATCTAACGATCATGCTTGTCAACGCAGTCTCGTCTCCATCAAGTAATGTGAAGGTGACATTAGAGTGAACATCATACTTTTGTTTTATCATGTTTTCTTTGATATAATTTCCCGATTGTTTCTTCAGGTCCATAGTTAATCTGACTTCAATATTTAACCAAAAACTCTATCCTTTATCAAGCTTAGCAACCTGCATCACGTACAGAACTCAAGTCCTTTTCTTTTATTTCTTTTTTTTTTTATTGTCGTTGTATTGGAATTGGTAATATAGCTCAATTGGACTCTCGATATTTCCTTAGCATTTCATATAATATGAATTTGAACATCTAGACACATTTTTTCATCAAACTCTGGACACGCTAATGAAAGTACATCTATACAACATGTTCAATAGCTTCTCTGTTTCCTCAAGTTTATTTATTAGTGTTCTCTCCTGTATGTATTTTGATAGGAATCCATTAGCATATACCTATATTAGATCAATGATCTTTAATATTGGACATGATTGGATATGATTGCCTTTTATCTCTATTTCTTGCTTGATTTATAATCTTATGTTAAAGTTCATAGGATTCTCTATGAGGTGAAACGATAGGACTGATATTCTCAAGTAATTGGTTGAGCGACAAGACCTCATAATATTTTCTTCCAAATTATTTGCTCTTTTTTTGACATACTAGTACACGGACAATCATTATAAATTGTATGTATTAAAGCAATGAAATATAAAAACAGTTTGAATATTGATATTATTTTTTTTTTCTTTTATTTTATGATATATAATGATTTAATATATGAGTTATATGTTTATTTCACTCGTTATAAAATAATGTTCATTTTAGAGTTTTCTTTATAATTAAGCATAATGAAAATTTATCATATTCAAATATTATCAATAAATAATACCACAAATTATTTCTCTCTCTATCTTCCTTTACTTATACCTTATTATAATACATCATTTCGATTTCTAAATAAGTTATGCTAAAGTTGAAAAGTTGTGGCAGATATTCACCAACAATTAATTGAAAAAGACTGTAATATTATTTTGAACTTAAAAAAATTATTGATTTTTAATTACGTCAATATTACTTATTTTTTTCTTTTAACTTATAATAATGTATATTATAATTTTGTAAATTTTTTTCTAATCTATTCATTTAGGTGAGATTTGTTGTGATATTGCGAATTGCAATCTGAATTGTTTAAAAAATGGTTCGGTACAATTATTAATAAAATCAAAAATATTTTTGAACTTCTTGAATATATGATTTTTGTATATGGATCGTTACCAATTGAATAGATAATTTTAGGAATTTGTTGTTAATGTTGAGATATCAATTCTATTGTCGTATTTATGCTAGTTATATTAATAAGATTGTTGCAATTGATTCGTAAATTTATTTTGTAATGATATTTTGCAACGTTCTCACACATATTTCGGCCTACATATGGCTAGATGCCCAAGGACACATGATTTGTTATTAAGGATAAAGATTGATTATTATTAAATATAAATAGTTAAATTTCTTTTGATATTGTGAAAAATTACTTTTACAAATTTTGAAATACTAAATCGATTGAGGTATTGATAATTCAAAGAATTCTAAACTAACTAGTGTATATCCGTGCGATGCACGGAGTAGCTCATATTTGAAATCTTTTTTTAGGCTTTATTTTAAATGTAATTGTTTATATTTTTCACATCTCATCTATTACGGAAATAAAATAAATACAAACAATGAAAAATATATATTATTAAACACTTCTCTTTATTACAATATTTTATATTTAAAGAATATTATTAAACCTTACGGTTTTGATATTTATTTTAAAATCAATTATCCAATATATGATTGTTGATGTACAAAAAATAATGCAAAGAATCCAGACTTTAAAGTAAAGCTATTTTCTATTTTTTTACAAATCAAAATCATTCAAATTTTTTTAATTTAAAAAAGATTTCGCAAGTTTGTTAATGAGATAAATCAAGTTATACAAATAATTAATTAGTTAGAATATTATATTTAATTATATTTTAAGAAATCAGATTATATAATATGGATAAAAAAATATTATACTAATTAGTTTGTAGTAATGTGATTATATGGAAGTTCAGATAAAATGAATGTAACCAAAAAATCTGTTTGTGGTCTTTTTCTTTAAATATTTGAATTTAAAAATCTAACTAGTACAACACCCGTGTATCACAGGTGCTTGTTAAAAATATTCTTAAATTTTAAAATTAATAAAAAAATCATTTTAAATTTTATTTACTTATTTGCAAAAAATATATATTATTATATATTTTAGAATGACATTTGTTTCTTATGCGACTTACATGTGTTATATTATAGTAATTTTTACAATTGATATCATATAACTTCTTGAAATATAAATATATTAATTGATAAATACTTTTATTTTTCTAATTAATATTAAAAAATAATCTTATTATTGTTATAAAGAAAAATATAATTTAATTTTTTCATACATGATGTTAAATCGGAACTCATCAAGAGATGATTAATTTGATATATTATACATGTAAAACTGATAAAAAATACAAAAATTATTAACATTTAAATTACATTTACAATTCAATGGTTATAATAAGAAATGATATTAAAATGCAATTAATAAATGTAACATGTCCATAAATCATCAATGTATTTATGAATAATCCAGACCTAATTATTTTTGGATTTGAAGTAAATTAAAATCTATCCAAACCTAATAACGAAGCATGTAATTTTGCCACATAGGATCTCGAAGCATGCGAGTCTGCCACTTAGACTCAACACGTTCTAAATTAACATATAGGGGGATAACCAAATTTAGATTATATCACATAAGGAAAAAATAAATAATAATGTTTATGAATATATTTAAAAATTTAATTTTAAATTTCAAATAGAGTAAAAGACGGAATGATTCAAATTTGTTTTGAAAAAGTTTTTGAAGTGTTTAATATTCTGGTTAGTATACCCGTAAGAATAATCTCACTATTTTAATTTAAAAAAATTTGGGAAGTTTGTTAATGAGATAAATTCGATTAGACAAAATATTAATTAGTTAAAATATTATATTAATTATATTTTGAAAATTCCGGTTAGATAATGTAATTATGTTAATTGATGAATTATAAATACATATTATTCATAAATACGTTGATGATTTATGGACATGTTACATTTATTAATATCAATTACAATCTAACTATTTATTTTAGGTTATACATACAAATTTGTTGCATTATGTTGAATGCATAAAAGGAGAATGTAATTTAATTTAATGTACTTTCTATGTCATAACACCACCATGATATATAAATTAATATGCAAAATGTCTTGATTTGATACTAACCCATGCTGAAGTCAATTGCTCAATTGCATAATATATTAAATTTACTATGTTATGATAAATATAATGTAATCTAAATAATAAAATCAAGAATGCTTGTATGAGAAGATGTTGAACTTATTTTATTAATATTTATGTGAATGAAATGATGGTATATTATAACTTCTATCTAATATTGTATAGTAAATACTAAACAGTCATCCATGTCATTTAATATTTTAATTTTTACTACAACTTTAACATTTTTTTCCCTGTTCAAATGAGCCATATTAGGTTTTTTGAATTATTTAGAAAATTAGTGATTAAAAAGGGTGGTAACAAAGGCATATTTGTATTTTCAAAAGAACTCTCGTTTTATACATTGATCTAAGCATTAAAAATGTAGTGAGTAAGTAGGGTTGCTAGTTTTCTAAGAATCAATTCTATTTTCGGCAGGTGTTTCCCCTGGGAAGGCTGCAGTTATGCAGATATGTGGAGACAATAGTTGTTATGTGTTGCACATTTTTCACTCTGGCATTCCTAAAAATTTGCGAACTTTGCTTGAGGACTGCTCTTCTTTGAAGGTGTCGATTTACATATGAAAACATTAATTATTAGAT